AGAGAGAGAGAGAGAGAGAGAGAGAGAGAGAGAGAGAGAGAGAGAGAGAGAGAGAGAGAGAGAGAGAGAGAGAGAGGAGCTGTGGATTTAGCTATAATTGAATGCATATGATGTTCAAGCCCTTGTTGTGTTGTCTTTGTGAGCACTAGAATTTGGGGAGCATACCCAGCCAATGTGTCCTGAATGGTACACATATATAACTGTTAGTGAGCAGATCACGAGAGTTCGAACCCTGATGGCATCAGATGGATACAATAACGCAAAGGGCTACTTCCTTTTGGAACCATACAAAGAAAAAAGGGAACAAGAATTGTAGGAGTCTGGAAGGTGAACCACCTCCCACAGGTGCTCTGAATGCACGAACCTGTATTCTATCGCAGTCAGGTTCATGCTTCTCGAGAATGAACGAAGAAGCACCAGTGGGGCCTGTCCCTAAGAGACTCTGGTCTGAGCAAAAAAAGCTGTCGATTTTTCTCCAAGTTTGCATTGAGGCACTTGTGTAGTGTGGAGAAAGATAAGCGACATAGAACATGTCCTGCTCTTTCTTGTTTTTCCTCTACTTTTCTGAAACATGTTGTGAAATAGTTTTAATTATTAAATGCCAAGACCACTACTACCAGGCAAAGAGAAGGGTGACTTACTTCTGTGTGTGAATTTGATCTTAGGTCTTGACCAGAAGCAGCCTGGTAGACTGCACCATGGTTGATGGACCGGGTTAGCTTTGAATGCTATGAAATGAAAGCATGAAAAGCATTTCAAAAAAAAGTAGTTCCACTTATGATAAGAATAAAAGACTTCAAGCATGTCCGCAGTTCGGCCCCGGTAGCGTGTCCCACTTTCTTTTGTACCATAGGGCCACAGTACGGTCCCGGTACCGTGTCCCACGTTGTTTTGTACCATAGGGCCGCAGTAGAGCTTTTAGGTAGAATACCGGCCAAAATAGAGATCCGATAGGGTAAGGTAGGTAGGGACAGTAGAAGTCCCTAGTAGTTAGACGGTAGGGAGTCGCCACGTGTCCAATCCCAGTCAAGTTGCACCTCAGTCCCAGGAAAGGCCCAATGACAGATGGAATCTTTGTTGGCCAGAGTAACGTGGAAGGCAGCGATGCATGCGCAAAAGAAAAGCCAGCACCAGTAACCTCCTCTTCTTTGATTCTGGCCTATGTGGAAGTGCTGCTGCATTATTGTGCGCCAAGACCTTGGAAACGTGAACAGTGTCTGGCGAGGAAGCAGACTATGGTGCAGGGCGCCATAGCTGCAGTTGGGAGAGGAAGAGCAGGCGAGGACATTCAGAGAGGCCGTGAGACCTCTGTGTCTTAGTATAGAGCACACACACACACACACACACACAGACAGACAGACAGACAGACAGACAGACAGACAGACAGACAGACAGACAGACAGACAGACAGACAGACAGACACAGAGAGAGAGAGAGAGAGAGAGAGAGAGAGAG